AAATAATCTGGTGAATAGAATAGAATCAGGGACATAGAAAGGGAATGGACTGACTATTCTGGGGGGGGAAAGGGGTGTGGGGGATGCGAGAAGAGACTGGACAAAAATCGTGCACCTATGGATGAGGACAGTGGGTGGGGAGTGAGGGCAGAGGGTGGGGTGGGAACTGAGAGGAGGGGAGTTATGGGGGGAAAAGAGGAACAAATGTAATAATCTGAACAATAAAGATTTAATTTAAAAAAAGAAAAGAAAGAAAATGACCTGCCTGGCTGCCGGCCGCCATCTTGGCTGGCAGTTAATTTGCATATTACCCTGATTAGCCAATGGGAAGGGTAGCGGTTGTACGCTAATTACCATGTTTCTCTTTTATTAGATAGGATTAGTATGTTAGTAGATGATATGTTATGAAAAATTAGAGCAGAGTAGGAAGGGTTAGGAGTGATGATGTGAAGGAGTGCAGAAGACAGTAATGGGCTAGAGATAAGAGACTTTGGGGAGTTGTTAACTTGTACGTGATATTTAAAATCATGAGACTAAATGAAATCACTTAGGGTAGTATTAGATAATGGTGAAGAGTACCAAGGACAGAATTCTGGTCCACTATTAAGCTATAAAGAAGAGGAAAAACTAGCAAAGGAGGCTAAGGAAGAAAAACGAAGAGTATGGGTCCTGAAAGTCATACAAAGAAAGTATATCAAATAGGAAAAAGGAATTAACTTGTGAAAAGGTGATAACAGGCCAAGGAAGGGAAGAGGCAGATGCTGCTGCTATGTTGAATATAATAAAAGGCTAATATGCAAATCAACCAAATGGCGGAACAACTGGTTGCTATGATGTGCACTGACCACCAGGGGGCAGACACTCAACGCAGGAGCTGCCCCCTGGTGGTCATTGTGCTCCCACTGGCTGAGGGGGAGTGCCACTCAGCCAGAAGCCCTGAGCCGGGCACACAGCTGGTGAGTGCAGCGGCGGTGGTAGGAGCCTCTCCTGCCTCCACAGCAGTTGGACATCCCCTGAGGGCTCCTGGACCGCGAGAGGGTGCAGGCCAGACTGAGGGATCCTTCCCCCACCCCATTCCCGCCCCCCACCCCAAGTGCACGGATTTCATGCACTGGGCCTTTAGTGTTGAATAAGAAGAGGACCGAGATCTGTTCATTAGATTTTGCAACATGGAAATTGTTGGTGACATTTTTTTTTACAAGAATGATGTTCGTTGCAGTAATTGGAGCAGAAACCTGCTTGAAATGGGTTTAAGAGAAAATAAAGAGCATTTGGAGATATGAGGAATTAACAATTGTTATAATTACAGTGACCACATGACCACATTTTACTGCAATTCTCCCATTCATAACTTGTGTCCCAGCATAGTTTTTAATAGTGCCTCCTTTCATTCTCATTTTAGTAAAAAAATTATGTAGTCATTGTCATTATTCTTTTATCACACCCAAATTTCACCAATGGTATCCCTTCAAAGGTTAGCTTATGTGACTTTTTGAGAGAACCCTATTAGTCCTTCCTTTTCTGTCATAACAAAATATTGCAGGGTTTATACTTTTCCTGCCTGAGATCTGTGGTCAGCCATTTTTTCTAAGAAGTTCTGTCTCATTTTAGTGGTATTTAGTAAGCAAGCTTTTGATTGGGGGAGGAAAGGGAGTGAGAAAGGTAGGTGGCCAGATAGAGAAAGGCAGTTCACAAATAAAAAATTTTAAAGCAGACAGTTTACCAAAGATACTGAGGTTGGAGAATCAAGGAATCGATTCTATGTAACACTGAATGGATGGCATATGAGACCCCCTAGCCTAGGAGTCCTGAGCTTGTGGGTAAGATAATGGTAATCCAAAGGAGGGAACAAAATTCAACAGACAATACAGCAAAGAAAGCAAAGAGGGAGATGAGAGTATAACAGAAACATGACAAAGAGGCACACAGTGTCAGATGCCTGAGCTGTCTAATCTGAGCAGCAAAGGTTGGAGATGCCATTAATTGCAACGAAGAACACAGGAATGGGTGAAGGAAGAAGACAAAGGTTATTGCGGGTTTTTGTTGTTTTTTAATTTCTTGGGAATATGATGACAGAGTGTAACCTATTGAATTTACATCTGGTAGAAGTGTATTTAACAAACAGTAGAACAATATTTAGGAAATAAGGTTTGTATTGTTATTAAAGGATAACCATAATGCAATTCCCATCTGTGAAAAAGCATGAAGATTTGTATGTTAATACTCTCCCACAAGTAATTTCAGATTTCTTATTTCAGAGAAATGCATTTCTTGCCTCATTTTCCAATAGACAAAAAAAGAAAAATCTCCAAGAATCCAGACTTTTCTTGGCACCTCATAATTCTTTGTATTGGGAATTAACCCCTCCTAATCTAAACGTCATATTTTAGTTTCATCACATTTTGGAAAATACAAGCAGGTTTTATATTTTATTAAATTAAAAGCCCAACCTTAATGAGAACCTGTTGGAATTTAAAATGTCTACATGGTCACTGCCTTCAAGTTACTTTTGTTTTGATACAGTGTCCCTCTCCATAGCCTGATATAAAATAGTTTGGTTGGAAACATAACTTTCCCCAACACCACTGGTGATATAGTTAAGAATTAGTGTATAGTAGTCTTCCCTTATCCTCAGCTTCTGTTATCCAGTCAGTTGCAGTCCGAAAATATTAAGTGGAAAGTTCCAGAAATAAACAGTTCATAAGTTTTAAATTGTGCACTTCTATGAGTATCAGATGGTGCAATCCCACATTGTCCTGCTATGTCCCCCCAGGATGTGAACCATCTCTTTGTCCAGTGTATCCACATTGTATATGCTACCCACCTGTTAGTCACTTGGTATCCATCTGGGTTTATCAGATTGACAACCATGCTATCACAGTGCTTGTATTCAAGTGACCCTTATTTTACTAAATAATGGCCCAAAAGTGCAAGGGTAGTAATGCTGGCAATTCAAACATGCCAAGGGAAGTCATAAAGTGCTTATTTTAAGTGAAAACGTAAGTATAGTCCAGTAAGGTATTTTGAGAGAAAGACCATAGTCACATAGCTTTTATTACAGTACATTGTTATAATTCAGTTTTATTGTTGTACTCTAGTTGTTGTTAATCTCTTATTGTGCCTTATTTATGAATTAATCTTTATCAGAGGCATATATCCTATATAATAAAAGAAAAACATGGTAATTAGCCGTACGTCTGCTACCCTTCCCATTGGCTAATCAGGGCGATATGCAAATTAACTGCCAGCCAAGATGGTGGCCGGCAGCCAGGCAGCTTGAAGCGAACATGAGGCTTGCTTGCTTCAGTGACAGAGGACTCCAACGTTCCCCGCCTGCTGCTGCCGCCCTCTGAGCTTGCAGTTTGAAACATTGTTACAAATATAGAAGCTAAACAAAATCCCAGAAACCTGCTTTCAGCCAGCCGGAATCTCAGAGCTGGAGTTGAAACAGTGTTTCGATTATAGAACCCAAACAAACCAGATACCTGCTTTTAGGAGCGGAGGCCTAAAGCTGGAGCCTCTGAGCTAAAGCAGGCCCAGAATAAAAAGAAAAGAAAAAAAGAAGCGGTTGGGAGCCTCCGTCACCCGCCAGCCTGAAAACAGCCCTCAGCCCCTCACCCAGACTGGCCAGGCAACCCAGTGGGGACCCCCACCCTGAAGGGTGTGTGACCAGCTGCAAACAGCCATCAGCCCCTCATCCAGGCTGGCCAGGCACTCCAGTGGGGACCCCCACCCTGATCCAGGACACCCT